CAGCAAAAAAAGGTGCGAGTTGAAAGTTGGGACTAATTGGCAGCTACTAACCGACCACCAATATTATGAGCTTGCCCCCTCAGGCCTCAACTGTAGTACAGCAAGTTCGTTGAGCGAGCTGGGGAAACATGATTAGCTAGCAAGCCGCAACCATAGGAATTATGCTGCGGCGCCAGGTATAACTGAAGTTGACATCTGTCCGTCGCTCTCAACGCCATGCATCTGTGCGCGCGGCGCGCCTAACCAAACAAGCAGGACTCTCACGAATTAGATTATCTTCTCCTCGGGTAGCAGGATTAACTTTGTGACAACCAGGTGCGGTGCAACGCCGAGGAGGGGGCATGATTCAGCTCGTGTCAAGAAGGCCTGAAGGGTGAAGATTGACGACCAGGCGCGGGCACAATACGGGCCTGACAGCCAGCACGATCTGTATGCTAAAATGTATTCTCCATCGCTCTGGTTTCTCATTTCTACAGCTTTGGAATGAAAGACGCGCTCGAGGAAGAACAGGCTATGGCCTATGGGCACAAGTGGATCCCATCAGACAGAGCAGTCACCAGTCACTGAGGAAGGGCATGCACATTTAACTAACATCAGTGCGCAATTATTATTTTGTTTCCATAGTAGCAGAATAACATGCACTCGGCCATTGCATTGAGCCCAGACTGCCCAGCTGTATGCCAATCGGCTGCGCGGCTGCAGCAGCAGTAGCTCTTTGCCAGTTGCTACAGTAATTTCACAGCTGCAGCCGAGCGGAGGCAATGTCGGGAACTTCAAAATGGACAGATTCCGGGCGACTGATATCAGGTTTCATTATATTTGTATATATAAGCCCCCCCAGTACAAACAGAATTACGGACCATGTACAAATAGTATCCGTTTGCATTTAACACCTCGAAATTTTTTGGCCGAGATTCTAATGCAACATTCAATTATAAGTGATCATCTTGGTTAGCAGGAGGGTATGGAATGCTTACTTGATATCAGAATACTGCACAAGAGCTAGAACAGCAATGTTTCAGTTCTGCGAATTATTACATATACTCGCTAATATGAAACAGGAAGAAAGCAAATCTGCTAATTCAAATCGAGAGATCCACATAACTGGTTGGGATGAAAAATCTGGACGAACCCTGGACGATTGAAATTTCCAGATCGAAGCAGACCATCACATTTCACAAACAAAACACAATCCACCACTCGATTATAGGTTAACACAAACACCTGTGCCAAATGCCATTTGGAAGCTTGTCATAGGAAGTTTACATATGATGTGATTCAAATTCAGTAATAGAAATGCATCTTATTTCCCTTTAGGCCTTCAGCTGTATAACACCCCAACTACATTCAGAAAACCTATGTTCATATATACAGAAAATAACCTATGTTCGTATATACAGGGAAAAAGGGGTGGGGAGCAAATACAGAATGTAAAACAGCTACTAATTAGAAGATAAGTTACAATTTTGACAGTAATAATGTAATTAGAAAAATATTTAATAGTCTTCGATTTTGAATTATGCTCACAAAGCAGCTTCTCATTCCCATAGATTCTAAACAATAGAGATCATGTTGACAAGTAAACATAGAGGATGCTTCCATTGTTCATGTGAAATTTTAGTCATATTCTTACTTTGTGGGGAATTGATATGGTTTGGACAAAAATCCACTACTCCGCAATAAGACAAACTGGATGAAGAAGGCACAAAGTGACAAATCAGTTGATACTGCTTAGTCCAGGGAGCACAATTGCACAAATCAAGCATGTCAGGATGGCAAAAGGTGTCACTGAGTTGTAAATAGCTGCCAAACATTAAGGTCCAATGGTCAGTGAGTGATGAGAAACCACATATTTAGGGTCCAATAGACACTTTTCTAAGCTTACAGTCTAATAATTAAAAATTCATTAGAGGTATGCATTCGATTTTAAAAATAATAAAAACGGATAAAAAAACATATATACAGACATTAATAACTGAACCACCACAATCCAATCCAATAAACAGGGAAATATTGATAACATTACAATGTAAAACATATACCTAAATATTAATTCACGGTACAAGTACATAGCAAAGACACAAAGTTTCTTAGTCATTGAGGACTGAAATAGAAGCTAATGGCTAATGCATCTGGTTAGATTCTACTAGCAGCACAAGAACTACAAATGATGTGTTACAGGAATAAGCAGAATGGTCTCACTAAATATGGGAGATAGTTACATTTTATTTTGCAATAACTCACCCAGATTACTTGGAAAAATGACTAGAAGCCAATTCTACAATGTTTGTCCAAGGCCTCAGGAAAATACATTCCACAATTTTTGTCCATTGAGGATATCAAGTGTGCAAGTTATTGCTAGGCTTCCACTCTCCACCCTTGATTAAATGCTTTGAAGAGGAGTAGTTGTACCATGTTATTTATTAGAGGTGTAGATGGTCATTCCACCTTCATTTTTTTCTTGGAAATAGAACTTCCTTGGTTACGGCACATGGTGTGCTATGGACAAACATTGCAGAATGGAGGAAATACAGTATATAAGTACTAAGCAATCGATGGAATACCCAAAAATGGCAAAGTGGGCATTGGATGTTTGGCACGACGAGTAAAGCTGGGCTCATTGTGCTCAAAGTTACAAAAAGGTGTTCAAGGAGGCAACAAGCAGGGTTGAGTTAGGATTTTGTGCCCAGGAGAGCAGCCTCAATAACAGTCTTTACAAGCTCTGCAGGATCAAAGATGGGTTGGGGACATCAAGGGTGGTTTGATCCAGTACCTCAGATTTGGGATTGCCTTCAGGATTTTATGCTCAATCCAGATGAGGCATATCAGCATATTTCGAGACATCCCTCTGGTCAGATCTCTACCAAATCTGCCATAGTGTCATCTCCCATTCTTTACTGGGAGCATCCGCTGTGGACCTGGAAACATTTATGGAAATCTCAGGCATCATGGCGTTGCAAATAAGCAAATTCTTACATTGGCCCGTCATTCTTAATCGTTTGGACTGTGAATTAACAAGCACATTGAGGCTTGCTGTGCTGTCCCTTCTGTGATAAGGAAGCGATCCAACATATCCTTTTGCTTTGTTCTTGTGTTTTTGCCGAACTATGGTTTCAGCTACTGCACTGACCACTGAGTCAACAAGCATCACCTTGCACTTGATACTCATGATGAGGTCTTTGCAGTATGGTGTCACCAGCAGCAAGCATTAGGTGCAAAAGTTTGAATTCTTTGATCACACTTGGGGCATGGTGGCGCTGGAAGCACTGCAATGGTTGCTTGTTCAGCGGAGTTGCTCCCAGTATTGCTTCAGTCCTGCAAGAAATATATGATGAGGCAGTTTTGGATTATGTCGGATGGCAAGAAATTATGGTAGCTCTGGCCAGAGCGAAGTGTTGAGTGGAGTCGTTTTTTGATGTTTAAGTTTGTGTTTTGTGTGTCGCTTGCCACTTGGGGCACTGCAAGGGACCGGTCCTTTTCTTTTTCTATATATCTAACATAACACAAAGACACAGTCTCCCGTGTGTTTGAGGAAAAAAGGAAGGTGGAATGTGAGTAAAGACTGCACACATAGGTGTGATGAAATGGAATCAGAGGTCCCAAGAAATGTTACATGCAAAGCTAACAGCAGCATATGTCATGGTCATGGCAATAAAAGTTAAGTGTTGCAATATACCATGCATGCACAGATGAAACCAAAAAAATTCTATTTTATTACCATGTCGGCACACCCATAGGAACAACACTTCCTAGCTACTGGTTGCATGAGGCCTGTGTGCTAAGCTCTCACCTAATTGGCACAGGTTGCTGTCTTTGTGGATCAGATGATAATGTTCCTAGCATCCCAGACATTTAGTTCATATAACAAGATCAACAACATATCTATACAAGTTTTGTATAGGAGTATCTAGAATTTTAGGAGCACTATAGAGATTATCAAGAACCTTCCGACTCGATTTTTACATTAGTGGAACCTTCTCTTCACAAAAGGTGATGTATGCATTCTATTTGCAATAACCCCTACAAACGTCACTCCACCTGAACTTTACAGACATATGCACAATTGGAGCACCATAGTTCTGATCTTATTTTTGTAGATATTCCAACAGTGCTTTGTCTTCAACCGTTTCACACAGAACCCATCCTAAAAGCCCACCAAATATGTGATATCTCACATCATATTCCTGCAAAGTACCTTGATTCTACTAGCCCTAGAATTTAGCCCCCTGAGAGAATATTGAGTGAAAACACAATCAAAATGAAGATGCCACACAGCTAATATCTATAATGATGATCAAGTAGGGAGTTTCATAGTATTAAAAATAGATCACCAAAATTAATGATGAAGTTATCAAATATAGACGCCAAATTTATATCAACAGTTTGGCAAATAATACGAGAATTAAAGGTCAAACCATTTTCCACATTAGGTTGTTTACCTCCTTTACTCTCCACACAAGTTCAAGATATAATGAATGAAATCATTATTTTTCTGATGTGAGCATAAATTAATGTAGATGCATGGTTTTGATACATTTCAGTGAACATATTTAGTTATTGATAATGATAGTCGCAGGACAATAAACCAAATTCAGAAAAACAAGATGGCAAAGGATTCCACGAAGTCGTTCAAAGAAGGCCTCCTCAAGTAAGTAGAAAGGAAGCAAGGAACTGAGAACGAAATAACACTGAAGTTAGTAGAACACAAAACTACAGTTTCTTTCACTGACAAAAAACAATCAGTTACATTCAGAAACATTCCACTATTTATCCAAAGAGCCCCACTCCAATACAAGTGATCACTCCTAGATGATCAATAAGTCGAGGGCTGACAAATAAGTAGCAAGCTTACACAGACAAGTAAGAAATGCATAGCAACCCGACAGTTTGTTCAAGGTTTTACATCCAAGCAATTCCTGACAGTCTGTAAAGAAGTAAAATATATTACCTAGCATAGCAGAAGGCTCCTGGTAAGCATATCCTCCTCAAAAAGAAATTAATCAGTAGCCAAGCAACTCTGGATCACCAGTGTATTCTGCCATCTGGTCATATCTAACACGTACAATATCCTTTGTATCTGCATCCTCCACCAATCCGATCTCTTCTTCGGAATTCTTCTCTACCAGGTGCCCATATAAACCCTTGTGCTTCCCATAAAGCACAAGCACCCGCCCGTTCGTCCGTGGAAGTACAGTTTCGAGCATATCCTGCTCCACCCCCTGCACCAACTCTGACCCATCATCCATCATGATGTCACATGTTGTAGGCCCCACCACATCGACAACCTTACCCTTCATCAAGTACAGCCTCTTGCTTAGTTTCTGACTAACAATCCGAACCCTGATATGGCTCTGCAACCACCGTACATTGCTTACATTGCTACGAGTATCGCTTGCATTACTTGTGCCTTCTCCGCTACCCCGGCCATTCCTCACCTTTTCACGGCCCTCTTTCTCAGACCTTTGCTCACTAGATCTCTTCTTCCGAGCACTAGAATCCCTCTCTTCCATCCTATTTCTACTGTCTCGATCTCTCCTCTTCGCACTCCCGTTCTCTGACGCCTTCTTCTCGCCAACAATCCAGTCGCCAGAACGAGTCTTCCGAGGGTCTGCTTCAGAGGGGTTGTAGCCTAACCCCTGTGTGCCAGCACGGCGGTCGTATTCAACAACTTTGGTATCCCCTATCTTATTGTTCCTACCAATGCCCTTACCTTCCGTCCAGCCGTATCCAGCAAGGAGCGCCGCGCCGAATCCCTCCACGGGTACCTCATTGAACTCGTCCATGCCACGGTGCTCCGGAAGGACGTCCATATCCTCCTTGTACCGCTGCAGCATGAGGTTGCCGGCGGCGGCAGCATCAGCAGTGCCCGAAGGCGGTGGCGGTGGTGGCGCCTTCTCCGATTCCTTGGCAGCAGCAGCAGCAGCGTCGGTGGGGCCGTTGCGGCGAGTGAGGCCGTAGCCGATTTTCGATGACGGGTCGTCGGGGGCGGTCGAGGTGTCGAGGACGAAGGCGGGGCCCCCGCCACCGGATTCCGCGGCGAGGGCGGCCTCCTCCTCAGGGGTGGGGAGCGAGGACGGTTTGCGGGGGCGGTGGGTGAGGAAGTTGCCGGAGTTGGGGAGCGGCGCGATGACGGCGCGCGCCGCGGCGGAGGCAGCTAGGGTTTGGGACGGATCGAACTCTGTAACATACTGCTGGGCCGGAGCGGGCGCGGAACGGAGGTCAGCGTCATCGTCGTACGCGGCGGCCGCAGGGCGTGCGGGAGGCTTGGGCGGCCGCTGCTTCGAGGAGGAGATGGAGAACGAGAGCTTCTTCTCCTTTTCCATCGCGGCGGCGGCGGCGAGCGATCCAGGAAAAATGCGAGTTTTTGGTGGAGGAAGCTGGAAGCGCGTGGTGTTTGAGACCTGAGTCGGGGCCGTCTGGCGGTTTGATAAGTCGTTCGTGGACTCGTGTGTCGTGGCCGAGTCGGAGGCGGTGCCCGTGTCCGAGTCGACGATTTGGGCCGGCCCCATCAGAGGAGAGAACGATTCGGGCCCTGACCTACGCCGTGTCCGACTCCGACACCAATTCGAGCCCACGGGTGTATAAATCCACGGCCTCGCGCGTCCATTTGGCACCAGGCCCAGATCAGATCATCGCCGCTTGCTCTGCCGCGGACGCAATGGGCGAGGAGAAGAAGCAGCTGTCGATCTCCATCGTGTGCAAGCGCCGGCCTCACAAGACCTCCTCCCTCTTTGCTGCCATCGACGATGCCCCCAGCTCCGCGCCAGCGCCAGCGCCCGCCCGGCAGTACGTCGCCGAGTTCGACCCATCCCAAGGCCTAACCCCCGCGGTGGCGCCCGTCGTCATTGCGCCGCTCCCCAACTCGGGCATTTTCGGCCGTCGCAAGCCATCCCACTCCTCGCCGCCCCTTGCGCTGCCGCCGCCAGCCTCGCCGCCTTCGTCGTCGACACCGCCACCTCCACCGCCGCCGCCGACCCCTCCTCCAGCACCCATTACGGCCTCACCCGCCTCGACGCGGCCGATGCTTCCGACCGTGGCACGGATGAGTTCAGCGACATGCCTGTGGAGGGATTTGGCGCCGCAATCCTTGCTGGCTACGGCCTGATTGTAACAAAGGGGGAGGATACCAAGGTCGCCCATCGTGGCGCAAGACACAGGCTTGGCTACAATCCCTCTGAGCCCGATAAGGATTGCAGGTGGTCTGGTGGAAAAAGGTCTAGAACAGAGGAGGCTTGCCAGGAGGAGGATCGCGATGCCCGGCGCAAGAGGCCTTGTGGTGGAAAAAGGTCTAGAACGGAAGCTTGGGAGGAGCTGAGAGACGGCCGGGGCAGCAGCAAGGTGCGGTGGCTACAGAGCCACATCAGGGTCCGGGTTGCCAGCGAGGAGCTGGGCAAACGGCTGTACTTGACGAAGGGGAAGGTTGTCGACGTGGTGTCGCCGACGACGTGCGACGTCGTGATGGATGATGGTTTGAGGCTCGTGCAGGGCGTGGGGCAGGATATGCTTGAGACGGTGCTGCCGCGGACGAATGGCCTGGTGCTCGTGCTCTACGGGGAACACAGGGGCGTGCGTGGGCGCCTGGTCGTGAAGAACGCCGAGGAGGAGGTTGGTTTGGTGGAGGATGTGGAAACGGAGGGTGTGATACGTGTTGGATATGACCAGATGGCAGAATTCACCGGCGATTTGGAGTAGCTCAGATACTGAATATTTTCTTTTCTTTCTTTGGAAAATTGAATGTTTTCTTTGTGGTCTGTGCTAGGAAATTTTGGAGAGGAAGAGGTAGCTGTTGACCACCATGAATTGCGATAAGTAGTCACTAGATTTTTGTAATAGAGAAGTAGATACAATTTACTTGTAATGACTGCAGGCTGCAGATGAAGGTCGATTGTATAGACAAAAGATCTTTAATTGAATTCAAAGTTTCAAACCACATCGTATGTAAACTTCCGATGACAAGTTAATTGTGTGACGAACTATTATGCTCTGCTTCCGGTTCCGGCTTCCATGTTGGACTGGATTCTTCAGTCCGTCTATGGCATCGCGGGATGTTTTTGTCCCAACTATTTCTTTCTCTAGCATGTGCATGTTAAATGCAGAAGATCGCTACTCCAATTATGGATTTTTCATTGTGCCCAATTTAGACATCAAGGATGTAGCATTGTACATTTGTGCCATCCATATCTTGCTAACCTTGATTTTTTTTAGCAACTCTTGCTAATCTTGATGTGAGATGAAACAGAGATATACACATGGGAATGTCAGTAATGGGCCTGGACCAATTCATGTTGAAACGTCAAAGTTCGGGGTCATTATTAGTACCAGAAGTTCGGGGTCATTAGTACCACCTTGATTCAATCCCATTGCTCTCATTTGTGTTGATTGAATTGAACATTATTGAATCACTAAGATCTGCTTTTGTTAAAATTCAGTGGGGTTTGCATTTTGAGTCTGGGGGCACCTCGTGAGTATTTTTCTTTTAAGATCTATAGTTATTGTAGCGTCCAATTCAAAACTTCACACTGGCCAAGAAGAGTCTGGTGAAAATTTTGCCATGCGCTGTATTTAATCTCAGGCGAGATATTCAATTTTGCACACCGTTTGTGTTTTTTTCTCAACGCCTCAAGTACTCAACTGACATCAGTTATGCTAATGTGCAGGTCGTTAATTGTGTGCGCCAGTGGTGGCTATTTTCATGCTAGTCTGGGAGCTAAGCCGAGACCTAACGAGTGATGGTGACAACCTCAAGTCAGGAGCCTCTATTTTGCAAGTACGGCGAGCCCTGAGGTGCGATTGTGCACATGTCCAAATACGAACGGGCTCATTACAGATCAAGCACGAACATTGACACATTACGCTCCCCGTCTCTTCTCCACACCCAGCCATCCATCCAGCCAGCCAGAGCCAGGCCCCAGTAGCTATTTGCTAGCACACCCAAGCGAAATACTAGATCGCTTCGATTACGTGTACGTGGCCAGTGAAGGATCAAGCATTCAAGCTAATGAGCATATCATATATCCATATCTGAGTTATCATGGAACGCTTGTCCAATAAGCTAGCAATTTTGGGCATGAGCCATCAACATGTATGCGTACAGCAAAACAAGCTTTTGCCCATTGTTCCTTTATTTGATGATTTATAACCAGCGAACTCAGACCATGCAGAACATTTGGCCTACTATACAAAATGTCCATGTTTGCCATAGGAAAACTGTATCGCTAAATGAACTGTATGAAGAGACATTAAGTCAATAACAGCGAATGAGAAAAAATATCAGTCCTTCGGGGGAAAAAATCACTAAGCACAGATATCTATGATTTTTATAGCAACTGCCCTAAACACCCAAGTCTATTCCCTGACCAAGGTGATGCATCCAAGCACCGTCAGGTCAATTCTAATTAATATTCTAAAAAGAAAAAAACAATTTAGAACTTATGAGAAAGTAGAGAAAATAACGCCATAAGCTAGAGCTAGGTTCAAAATAGCACTCGTAGAAATATTCAGCATAATTCTGTGCAAATCTCAAAGGCAGTTCTGCACCACAGACAGCTACACTCAAACTAAAAAAGAGTGCATTAATAAAAGAAGGCTGCACAAAACCTTCTTAAATTAAGAGACACCTGTGCTCAAACTTTAAAAGAATACAATAATACAACGAGATTGCCCAAAATCTTCTTAAATCAACAAACCAACTCAACTACGCCTCAGGTATTATCCATGTATATAATAACTTAGTTTTGCAATGCAAAAGGTTGTGCACAAACATAGTACATTAACGCGTACCAAATCATATTCATGTAACCAGCAGACATGGAAAACTTTAGACATTAAAGTATTGCTCTTGTTAGACCACAGCCAAAACCACAACTGATGATCTGAGGTGGATTTTTAATCCATTAATTGACTGGACAACAACCAAATCCCGTTGTAACTATGAAACATCAGCGGGGCCAGATATGATTGAGGCCACTTGGCCTCCTTGTGCTTCACCATTCCAACTCAATTATATCCATATGACTTCCTTGTGCTTCACCATTCCAACTCAATCATATCCATATGACTTGAACAGCCTCAAACATCCAAAGTCACTTGCATGAACCAGAATTGGTCTTGAGAACAGTTCTGGTATAAAATTTCAGCATGATACGGTGCAAATCTCAAAGGCAACCAAGCATTGTGACAAACCAAAAACAGAATTTTCTATGCCAAAATGAATAAAAACCTGTAATTGATGAACACATTCGAGCCGACCAATCAGAATATCTGCACTAGTTTTATTACGCAATTCTGTTTCCTCAGATGGTATCAGTCAGGTGTACCATAAAAACCTGCAACACAATTCAGAAAGTTGGATGGGAAACTAGTACACACAGTCAGCAATCAGAAGGTATGGAACATGTTTCACATGATGTTTAGATTCGCAAGTATTTCTCTTTATTTGGCGGTTCACCAATCACCGCCAACTTGATTTCCGATATCCCCCTTAGCTGTTGCAAGTTGCAACTAGGAAGGAGGAGCAGCAGAGGCAGATGCCTCAGCCGGAGCGGCCTCGTCATCCTTGTGCTTCACCATGCCCGAGTCGACCAGAATCGGGACCTCCGCCGCGAGCCACGGCGCGAGGCCGAGGCACAGCGCGTGCGCGATACCGAACCTCGGGCAGTTCTTGGCCCACAGCGGCTTGAAGTGCACGGTGAGGCAGATCTTCCCACCACGGTACATCTGCGCGAGCCAGCAGCCATCCATCACAGCGCAAGTCATGAACCCTCGGTCAAATCCCAGCAAATTAAGCAAGCATACAGACAGCATCGCAGTAATCAGTCGGTAGATTAACTTACCTTGTGGGTCTTGCCGTCGAGGGTGGGGAGCTCGATCTCGGGGGCGACCTGGGGGTAGGCGACGGGGATGTCGAACTGGAGCGGGAACTCATAGCGGCGGAGGTTGTGGACGTACCAGCAGGTTCCCTCCCAGCGGGTGCCCTCCGGGTTGGCGGCGGCGATGCGGAACCAGTCGTTGTCCTTGGCCTTGTTCACCGACGTGTAGGCGATGAGCGCGCGGTACTCCTCCTTGAGCCGCTGCCGCCACGCCTCGCCGTCCCGCGGGCCCGCGCGCGTCGACAGCAGCGGGATCTCGCCCACCGTGCTCTTGGTCCCCTTGTCCCAGCCCTCCATCGATCCGACGCTGCTGTTCGGGTTCGGCGGCGATGCGGCGGAGAAGAGAAGGTGCGCTGCGTGGGGACCGCTGCGTGTATGTGACGCGTGACGGCCGCGGCTTCTGAGGTCTGTCTACTAGTGCAGGCAAACCGGTTGAGGCCACTACCTGGGCCGGCCCATCTGAAGTGATGAGTTCTTTCGAGCTTCTTTTTTCTGGCGGACGGGCCCGCAGTACGGCAGTAGACGAATGTGCGATCTGCTCGGGCTCAAAGTTATGTGCACGCAATCAGTAATAAAGAGTAGGATTAAAAGGCCTAACTGCTACAGGGCTACAAGCTATGGCGTTGGCGTGCACTCATCAAGTCAGAAAAGTTATTAAAAAATTAGGACAGAATCAAAGTGATAGATACGTGCTAACGTTCTTTTACCTCCTCTTGCTTTACGTTTATCCAAGGAAAGGTTAAGTGTCGCCAAAAGCAAGTAATACGTTCATCTGTAGCACCACTCCGTAAAAACCCGAGTGCACTACTCTCTAGCTTCATCGCAACTCCGTAAAAATGCTCGTATTCATGAGAAACTATAGATCATTATTTTCTGTACTGTACATCGCCTCTGAACCCACACCACGAGATCATGGGCATGTTTAGTTCAAAAAAATTTGAAGTACTAAACGTAGATGAAAAAAAAACTAATTGCACAGTTGGTGAGAAATTGCGAGACGAAACTTTCGAATCTAATTAGTCCATAATTAAACACTAATTGTTAAATACAAACAAAAATGCTACAATAATCAAACCTAAAAAATTTTGCATCTAAACGCGTCCATAATGGCGTAGAGTCCCTAGCTCATAAACCATCAAAGTTCATGGAAAGGATACGGCACCAGCAACCGAAACAGTACTATCAAATTGTCACACCTCACTCGCCATCAATGGAGCCCTTTTCCGGTGATTAAGGTCCAGTTTAGTTGCAAAAAATTTTGCAAAATTTTTCAAGATTCTCCGTCACATCGAATATTTGGACGTATGCATGAAGCATTAAATATAAATAAAAAATAAAACTAATTACACAGTTTAGATGAAATCCACGAGACGAATCTTTTAAGCCTAATTAGACTATGATTGGATACTAATTGCCAAATAACAACGAAAACTGCTACAGTGACATTTTGCCAAAATTTTCGGATCTAAACGAGCCCTAAAACCAATCACCGAAAACCCCCTTTGGACACACGCAAAACCATGGAATCTTTTTTCCCCCTTTTTCTCTCCTTTGATTGACAGTGAGGATTAGGCGCCTTGAGTTACACTAAAACACACATCACTTTAGATGCACATGGCGCTACCGCTAGCTGATGAAATCCAGCGAGTGTTGGCAGGCAGACAAGCATGTAGCACACATGAGCCGTCCTACACGCTTGAACCGGATCTGAAAGTGACGAGATGCTGCTATCCAGTATCCAGTACTGTACCCAAGCTTGCTTCGGGTGCACGAAGGCCGGGCTCGATGATTTGTGCAACAACTCTGACGATGACCCCTTCCAGT